ACACATATCCTTTTGTGAGTTGTTTTGTTTTTTGCTGTGGCCCAGGCTGGAGTACAGTGGTACAATCATAGCTTACTGCAACCTTGAACTCCTGAGCTCAAGCGATCCCCTGCCTCAGGCTCCCAAATTGCTGGGATTACAGGCATGAGCCACTGCACCCAGCTTTCATTTGTTTTTGTTTTTGTTTTTTTTTGAGACAGAGTCTCACTTTGTTGCCCAGGCTAGAGTGAGTGCTGTGGCGTCAGCCTAGCTCACAGCAACCTCAAACTCCTGGGCTCAAGCAATCCTACTGCCTCAGCTTCCCCCGAGTGGCTGGGACTACAGGCATGCGCCACCATGCCCGGCTAATTTTTTTTTCTATATATGTTAGTTGGCCAATTAATTTCTTTCTTTCTTTTTTTTTTGAGAGAGTCTCACTTTGTTGCCCAGGCTAGGGTGAGTGCCATGGCGTCAGCCTAGCTCACAGCAACCTCAATCTCCTAGGCTTAAGTAATCCTGCTGCCTCAGCCTCCCGAGTAGCTGGGACTACAGGCATGTGCCACCATGCCCAGCTTAATTTCTTTCTATTTATAGTAGAGACGGGGTCTCGCTCAGGCTGGTTTCGAACTCCTGACCTCAGGCAATCCGCCCACCTCGGCTTTCCAGAGTACTAGGATTACAGGCGTGAACCACCGTGCCCGGCCTTTCATTTGGTTTTGATGTTTCCCTTTAAGAGAGGGAAGGAAAAGAACATGGTGTCAGGGAAAAAGCATGGGTTTTTGAATCAGAGAGAGCTGGGTTTGAATCTTAGCTCTGCCATTTACTACCTTTGGAGCCTTGGGTCATTTGCTTAATTGTTCTGGGACTTAGTATCTCAGATTTAAAATGGAGATATTAATGTCCATCTAAAGTGCTTGTCATGATGACTGACAGTACCTGGCATAGTGCTTGGCACCTAGTGGACACTTGGTAAATATTGCCCTTCACATCATACTGGGTTTTGCCACCATCAGCTGGTCTTAGTGCCCAGTGAGTGAGCGCTCTGTTTCACCAGCATGCAGTGCTGCATCTTCAGCCTGCAGCGCTGCATCTTCAGCCTGCCCTCTGTCCCATGCTACCCTGAGACAGACCCAACAGGACTCCCAGTACAACCTAGATTAGAAACCAATGATATGGCCAGAAGAGTAGTGACCTGGTCCTCTGCCCTGCTTTCCTTCCCAGGACGAGAAGCTCACTGTGACCCAGGACCTCCCTGTGAACGATGGAAAACCTCACATTGTCCACTTCCAGTATGAGGTCACCGAGGTGAAGGTCTCTTCCTGGGATGCAGTCCTGTCCAGCCAGAGCCTGTTTGTAGAAATCCCAGATGGATTATTAGCTGATGGGAGCAAAGAAGGGTAAGGAAGCCAGGCTGGGAAAGGAAAGGAACAAATGGGGAAGGAGCTCCCATTCCAAAAGAAGGGTGTATGTTTATTGGGAATAACAGAATTGTAAGAGTCTGTGCTTTCTCTCCTAGCTCTAGACTTCTCAAGAAGAGTTTTGTAACAGGTTATTTTTAGGCAGTAAAACAGGCTTGCTCTAGGTTATAATTAAAGCAGATCATTATCACATTAACCACATGCCTGCCAGTTAATCACCCCATGGTTCATCTTCCAGCAGATACTAAATCCCTCTTGAGCCACCATACAATGGTGCAGTTCAAAAGGCCAGAAGCTCAGAGATAGAGGGGGATTTCATTGGATTGGATAAGACCCTCCAAGCGGCCAGGTGTATAAGAAGCAGTCCTGAGGACAGAGTTCTCTTGAGTGGCTTCAACCTCTTGAGGAAATCCTTTCAGGCTGGGTTAGGGCCCAGAGTGTTCCTCCTAGTGACAGGTGATCTTATCAGACTTGGCAGTCTGGGGCCCCTGAAGAACTAAGTTCTCTTTCTAGGCCCTAAACTCTTATCTGTGAAGAGTGTTAGTTAAGATGGGTATTGTTACTTTCACATGAAGAATCTCTGTTAGAGGAAGAGATAAGTCATTCACATTTTTCCCAGGGGCTGTGGCTTTTTCCCCCCCTGAACCCAGGAACCTTCTCCCTGGAGCTTCTGTATTTGTACTGCTGGCTGTAAGCCTCAGAAAAGCCTCTTGGGGGGTTGTGTGTGTGTGTGGGGGGCTGGATGGGAAGGCGATACAGTGAGGTAGTGACGGGCCTGAGTGGTTTCTTTGTTTCTTGCAGATTGTTAGCACTGCTAGAGTTTGCTGAAGAGAAGATGAAAGTGAACTATGTCTTCATCTGCTTCAGGAAGGGCCGGGAAGACAGAGGTGAGGGGTCAGAGCAGCCTGTGACCTACAGCCCAGACAGTAGGGGACTGGGGAGAGAAAAGGGAGCTCCTATATGATGAGAAAGGACTCCTGAGTTTGCCTCACACACCCTGGGAAATCATGGGGGAGGGTGAGTGCCCAAAGGGTGAGTAAAGGCCTACTGCATGTTTGTTCCACCTTTGTCTGGGGTTTTCCCTTTATTGGGGCCTACCCTTATGTTTCTCATCACAATCTTTTTCACACTTTATCTTCTGCAGCTCCACTCCTGAAGACCTTCAGCTTCTTGGGCTTTGAGATTGTACGTCCAGGCCATCCCTGTGTCCCCTCTCGGCCAGATGTGATGTTCATGGTTTACCCCCTGGACCAGAACTTGTCCGATGAGGACTAATGGTCATAGAGGATGCTTTGCCCAAGAGCCACAGTGGGGGAAGAGGGGAAGTTAGGCAGCCCTGGGACAGAGGAGAGGGCCCCTCGCTGTCTAGGGAAGGACGCTGAGGGGCTCAGGGTGAGGGTTGCCTATTGTGTTCTCGGAGTTGACTCGTTGAAATTGTTTTCCATAAAGAACAGTATAAACATATTATTCACATGTAATCACCAATAGTAAATGAAGATGTTTATGAACTGGCATTAGAAGCTTTTTAAACTGCGCTGTGTGATGTGCTCTATCTAGCCTAGGGGAGGACATTGCCTAGAGGGGGAGGGACTGTCTGGGTGCAGGGGCACAGCCTGGAGGGCTGGTGGGCAGCACTGTCAGGCTCAAGCTCCCCTGCTGTTGGGCTTTCTGTTTTGGTTATTAAGACTTGTGTATTTTCTTTCTTTGCTTCCTGTCACCCCAGGGGCTCCTGAGTGTAGGCTTCTCAGTCCCTGGGCAGTGTCCTTGAGTTGTTTTTTGACACTCTACCTGGGCTTCTCTGTGTGCATTTGTGTCTGGCCTGGAGTAAGCAGGTCTGACCCCTCCTTCTTTACAGCTTAGTGTTATTCTGGCATTTGGTTAAGCTGGCTTAATCTGTTCAATGTTGTCAGTGCATTTTAAATAGGGGCATTGAAGTTTACTCCCACCACCAGGGCTTTTTTTGGGGGTGCCTGGGCCTTAAAAAACACTAGCCAAACTCCAGTTCGCAAGTCACCACCAAGAGTTCTTGGCTCATGACTGCAGGCCCAGGCCCCAAGGTCTCCTTCCTAGGGTCACAAAGAGCAAAGAGGAAGAGGAGTAGCAACTCAGGGCCTGGGAATTGTGGGGGAATCTGTTCTTGGGGACTGGATGCCTCTGGCTGGCTGAGTACAGTGCTTACTGCCTCCCCAACAGGTTCTAAGTAGTGCCTGAGATCCTGCTCTGCAGGCCTAGGGGTAGGACTATTTTCACTGAACAGCTTGTTCTAAGGGGAGAGGAAGGGGAAAAGAGCTAGACTGGGTGAGGGGATGGGGATATCAGGGAGGCAAGTGTGTTGTGTTACTGTGTCAATAAACTGATTTAAAGTTGTGGTTGTTTTGTTCTTTATTCCTGTACCAGGACCAACTTCCTACCACTACTGTTTTGAGTTTAGAGCCTAACCAAACAGGGCTGTGTATATATGCTCCTTAGGAAAAAAGCTGCAGCGTAGCAGTGCAGATAAACTGGCCAAGGTCTCTGGGGCCACATTACACTGTGAAATGTAGGGTTGCTAGGAGTCTTGCACACCCTGCCAGAAACCCCCCTGGAGAGACAGGTTTGTACACATCAGCTTCATCTAGAAGAAAGGCTGAACTCGGAAGCTGTTCTTGGCTCTTCCTTATGTAGAAGGCTGGGTCCTGAAACTGTTCTGGCTTTTGCATGGAGCTGCTTGACATTTCCATTCCTGAGGTCTTTGTAGGGGCAGCATATACCTTCCCTGTGTGGCTTCAAGGCCCCTGCACCTGAGGAACAGGCTCTCAGTGGCACTGCGGGGGGGGGGGGGGCACAGGCTAGAAGCCCCTTTATTTGTGTGCTCTTTTTAAATTTCTCCAGGGCTTACTAGCATTTTTTTCCTTTTGCTTCTGTTTTTCCAAGTGAAGGGCATGTTCTACCTGCTACAGCTTTATAACTGTCCACTGCTGAGCTGTGGCAGTCTAGTTTTGCTACAGGTCTGTGGTGCATTTTCACATTGTTCTTCACGGAGCTTACTTGTGTTTTCACTCTCGGGTCAAGTCATTAACGTTGGACTCCACCTGGTATTAATTAAAAGACATGCGCTCCATACCCCCACTCCCAACAAGTATTATTACAGCAAGTTTGGAACTAGAGACATTCTGTTGAAACCAGCAGGGCTTGAAGATATCTCCCACTGAGTAGATAACTCCTAGAGGCAGCCTAAAGTGGCAGACACTTCAGGATTCAGATGTTAAACTCAAACCCAAGGCATCTGCAAGACAGGGCTAAAGAACCAAGGCAAAACTTAGTCATTTACTTTCCCTCTGGGCTAGCAGACTGGATGGGAAACATGCTTTGAGATTCTGCTGCCATCTATTGGTGGTTCTTCCTCAATACAGTCAGAGTCAGAAGGGCTGAATTGGAAACCCAGGCACCCACCCAGTTAAGATTTCCTTTTTTTTTTTTAAAAATACTTTTGCTATTGAAGGCCACAGATGGAAAAGAAATAAGGTACCCAAAGGCTGCACTGCAGTTAAAAAAGCAATTTAGAAAGTAGAACATGGGAGGTGGGGAGTGGAGATAGATGGTGAAAGGCGAACTAAGTCTAAATTTAAGAACAGGGACATTAAAAACTTTATTCAATAAATACAACAAATAATTTAAAAATATATTTCAATTCCAAAGCCAATTAAGAAGAGGAAGTAGAGAGAAAGGGGAAAAAGAGGAGAAAAGGAGAAAGAGGCCAAACAATAGTTTGGTTGGGCTATTTCAGAATGTACCACCCTTTGAAATTCTGATCAAATTGCTCTTGACCCATAAACCCTTAGCCCTTGTTCGGATGGGGCAGCCACAGGAGTCCACCAGCCAGGAAGGATCCTCTGGGCTGTGAGTCAGAGCCCCCTGGAGGATGGCATGTGGGGGGCAATACTGGGGGAAGTTTCCCACTCATTCCTCAAACCATCCGTCCTAACTCCCAGGCAGGTTTAAATAGTGCAAACTCTTAGGCAGAGAGCTCCCAGCTGCATAGTTTCACAGGTGAGTGTATAGAGCACCCGGGGTCCAAAGCCACTTCGGTGAACAGGATCTAAGGGTGAAGAGAGGAGAGGCCAGGGTGCAGGATAAAGCTCCTGGGCTAAGTCAGTGGCCAAGCCGGTAAACAGTGCTGGGCAGAAAAGGGCTACAGGGCAGGTAGTCTGGACACGGGATTCGACAGCTTGCCGCCAGCCGGGGAAGTTTGTGAAGCTGAGGATGCATATGGAGCAGGCCCGGGAGGATCAGGAAAGCTGAGGGAGAACAGAAAAGTTGGGAAGAAGGAGGAGGCAGCTCAGCAGCAAACTCCAGGAGAAATAACCAGCAGCCCTCACAGATTTGTGATTGTCTCTTAAAAAGATTTATTTTCTCTTCTTGCCTGAATGTACAAAGGCAAAAAGAGTACAGTTTGTATATATATATATTTATATATATATATAAAAAAACAAGGAACTTGGTAATGTACACTTTACAGAAGGGAAGAATCAGGAAGACTGAAATTAAATCCAACAGAGCAACGCCAAAGGAACAAAAGCTATGAACAGCAACACTGCCCCTCCAGCCCGGGCCTCCAGCTCGCCCCAACCTGCTCCCAATGGGGGGGCTGAGCACCAAGGCAAGCGGGTGGGCTGGGGCAGGAGGGGCTGGGGACAGGGCCTGGGAGGGGCTTGATCCCAGGAGGGGCCTATGGTAGGGGATCACTGGAAAGCTTCCTGGGATGCCCTAGTAATAAAACAAACGACAAAGGCCCAGAATTATGGGGCCAACTAGCTGCGCAGTTGAATCTTGGGGGCATCAGAGTAGACAACGGGATGGCGATAGGGTATACGGGATAGTAAGTGACGTGAGTGGCCTCAAAGCCTGTATACAGTATTATTCTCTAGCCCTTCTGCAGTCTTAGATCCCAACTCCCTAAGCTAAGTCCTCCCACGCCCCTTGGAACTTGGAGAGAAGAGATTCAAGAAATCATTTCATTTCACAGGGTGCCCTCTTACCCTTCTGCGTGTGGTTCTTTGAGATGTGTGGAAAGAGTGGGGTAAAATAAGGAAATTTCATACATGTACACATACATGTACAAGGCAGGAAAACGGGATCAAGGGGACTGGCATACCTTCAAATAAGGAAGAAGGAGATAGGAATCCTAAAGAGAGCTCTCCATGCCTTGCCTGTCCTACCTGGGGATGAGGCTCTTTAGCTTTGTCTCTTCGGGGAGCCCAGTGAGTGAGGCAGGGCCCGGAGACAGGCTTGGTCTGGTCGTCTGGGCCCTTAGCAGCAAACTCCTCCAGCCTTTGCCTGTGGGGTGGTGAGCCTTGCTGAGGGTCTCATACCTCTGGCCAGGGTATAGGTCCTACAGGTAGTGCCCACCTATGTTTCTCCTTCCCATGTAGCAGGCGTGGAGGTGCAGAGCAGATCGTTCTCAGCACTTGTCAAGGGGCTCCACTGCTGCTGCTTCATGTAATTTGCGGGGACCAGGAGAAGGCATTGCTACTCTGCCATTGCTGTGTCTGCTTGCTCTTCTGGGCAGCTCCCACTCTTTAAGGGAGACATGGATTTAAGAATCAAAGAGCCAAGTGTTTTTTTGAGGAAAAAAAAAAGGAAAAGAAAAGGCTGCACCCTTCTGCAGAACCAGGGCTGCCCAGCTAACACAGAAGTTCCTCCTCTCTGTTACAGAACGAAGTGGAAGGGGCAGGAATGCGGGCCGTGCCTGCCTAATGAGAAAGAAAATTACTCCAACGGTTTCTTTACAATATGTACAGAGTACGCTGTAGGCAGCGCCACAGATACAAAACACACAACAATATTTCAAAACAAACAGGAACAGAGGTGGGCCCTTGGCTCTACCCGACAGGAGCCCAGGAGGGCATAATCAGGCTTAAATTCAGTCACCCTCTTGGTAGGGGTGACTCAGGTTAGGTGGGGTGAAGTTGTTCACACCAGCTACTTCCATGAATGACAGGGAAGTCACTGCTCAGAGCACTGCCCGTGGGGGCAGCAGGAGGCAGAGGGAAGGATGGGTATGAGGGAGGCTGCCAAGGGTCTAAAACAGTGGGTTTTTGGGGAGAGCTCAAAACTCAACTTGAACAAAAACAAGGACATGGAAACTTAGGGGAAAGGTCTGTAGGTCAGAGGGGCTCCTCATGGGCATGTGACCCTAAGCCTATCTATGTGTAGGGCTCTAGGGTTCTTGGAAACCAACCCCTACTGGGCATTGTGCTTACTGTCCCCTACCTCCCATTTTCCAAATTGAGTCAGAGCAAAATTCCTGCTCTTTGGCACTCTGGTCACAAACACCCTACTCCAGTCTAGGCTGATATCTGTCAGTCGTTATCTCTCTCAATTCAGAGGGTCAAAGAAAGATGGGCGGGGAAGAGAACAAAGAGATGATACCTCAAAAGCAAAGTAAGAGCTAACGCTCCCCACACCTTGTGGAAGAAATGACTCCAATAAAGCTACCAAATCATCATCACTTTCCCAGTGCAAAGAGCATAAAGCTTTGATTGGGAGACTGCCTGTCAAAGGAGAGCAGAGAAATGTCTGCTGCCTCAAAGTACAGCTCCCTTGAGTACACTCTGTGCTCTGACGAGTAATGGCTTGGATGTGTTAACCCAGGGTCTGAGGAACAAATAACTTCCCATGGCCAGTGGCCCCCAAAACAAAAATGTGTGTTACAAAGAAACACAGCTTATATTGGCACACACGGAGGTTATAGATTGAGCTATATAAAATCATGTACTTATAGACAGAGGAATTAGACTGTATATGTTTGTGGCCCTAAATGAGGAAGATACTAGATGGCTGAATGGACAGGGCATCTCCAAGAACTGCTGGGTGCTCCTGGGGCCTGCCTTCTGGGCCTTGCCCTAAGGTGACCTGGCAGACTCCTGGCAGGCTCCCCAGGCTCGGGGAGTACTATTTTATCTGCCTGAGTCTTAAGAGCCAAGCAGTGAAACAGAGGTGAGACCAGTGTGGGGAACCCCTGGGAAAGGCACCAAGGGGTCAGGATGGAAGAGAAAAGGGCAAGGAGTTGGGGGTAAGAAGCAGCAGGACTGAGTGGGATGCAGGTTCTACTTCACAGACTCCATTCGTGCTCCAGCTCCAGCTGCCTCCCAGTGTCCCTGGGATTCCTATGCTGGTGCTGGAAGCCCTGCCCTCTGCCTGACAGGCAGCACAAGGCCATGGTGGGGCAGATGCCTTGGTCTTCCCTTCCAGGCTAGGCTCTGAGCGTTTATATGTGCTCATGTAAAAGGGGACAAGTCTCCACGTTTGAAGACCTTGTTTTCACAACTATGTAGAAAACAGCCCCCAATTTCTTTCCTGAGATTCTAATTCCTCACGTGCTGCCAGTTCCCAGCATGCGAACCACTGGGAGACGCAGAGTCTGGTGACGGTGTGATGATGGTGAGAGGGGTATGGCTGCTGTGCTGTCTTCAGACCTGACCCAGTGTGTGTGGGCCCTCCCTGGTGGGGTGGGGAGGTACTGCTCCGGCAGCAGACCAGGGGCTCGGGGAACAGAGCAGTGACTTCTCTGGGCTGAGGCCATGTTCCCCTAGTTCCTCCCCGTGCCTTCATCTCCACAGAGGCCACAACAGTCATGACTGTGGCCAAGAGAATAAATATTTTTGCTAAGTACCAGCTCTCCAGCTCCTGCAGAAGAGGGAGGGTCAGGGAGTCCAGAGGTCTGGTGGAGGCGCGACAGCCGAGGGTCTGCCTTCGGTTGTGGTGGGAACGGCAAACAGGATGATCAACACCATTTAACTGATGTCTAAATGGCACCTCCAGCACCTCCTTGGGCGAGCCAGTCTGGGCCCGTGAAGCTGACTTTATCTGGGCACTTGGTGTTCTGCAAGGGAAACATGGACAGATAACCAGGCACTCAGCCTGCTGGTCAAACAACCACAAGGTGGCGCTCCAAGAACAGGAACTGCCGGGGAGGCTAGTACTGGTCCCTAAGGGGACATCTGTCTTCCACAGGTCCTCTCAGAGAACATGGCTCCACAGGAGACTCTTGTACAAAAGGCTTGGCCATGGTTCCACCTTTTCCAGACCACTAACCCCACATAGCTATTCCTCACCTAGGCCCCACAGGGATTCTATGATCCAGGAAGCAACTCTCCCTGCTGTGTGTGTGGCCCCAAATTAACAAAAGTTACTTACCATTCTCACCTCCTGGGGGGTGGGTAGAGGGAAGGGGTTGCGCCTTGCTGGCTGGCAACAATGGCTGTGGAAGAAAGCCCTGAGCGAGCAAGAGAACAGTTAGTGTGGTACTCACATACACTTCCCATTAAGCATGTCCCTTACCTGCTGGCTGGGGACAGGGAGGTGTTTCCCCTTAAATTCCTAGTTTCACTGAGTTTTGAGGTACAGAAAACAATCTGATATTCAGCCAGATTTAATGCCTGGGGAGATAGTAAGGCTCTATTTTTCAACTGCTTGTTTCGCTTTGGCTGTGGGGAACACCTGTTCCTTATTCTTCTGAATATCAAAGCCAATATTCTGGAGGAGTTTGAGATTCCCCAAACTCCAAGGAAAGAAATAAATATCATATGCTTTAATGACTGTCTGCAGGAGGCTAGGACTCTGAACAGATTATAAGATCAAAAAAAAAAAAAAGGTTCTCGTGGGGCAAGGAGGGGGAGAGGGCCCTTGCTTGGGCATCACCACTGGGATGGAGACAGAAGAAATAGTGGTGGGGAAACAGGCTTACCTGCTGCGTAGGGTAAGTTGTACTGCGCCGGGAGCAATGAGTACCCCAAGTGGTGGTGGTGGTGGTGTGTAGACATCAGGCGCTGGGAAGGGGAGGTGCGGGGCCGGTCGACACTCCGTTCACCCCCACCTGCTCCCCCAACGCTGCTACAGCTGCCACCACCCCCAACCACCCCACAGCCTCCCCGATCTCTCTCCTGAGAAGTTTTATCACTTATCTGGAAAGGAAAGCAGACACACAAAAGCACTATAGTGAGACACACACACACACACACACACACACTCACACACAGAGTGAAATGCTCAAGGCCCCACATTATGACTCCCTAAAAATGCAGGATACCTAAGAATCAAGGAGATGCCCTGGTGAGGCCAATGTCAAATCAGCCAAGTTGTACTGTGGCCCAGACCTGACCTTGCCCGCCTTCTCCCAGACCCTGGATCTGGCCTTATTGTCTTTGGATGACATCACTGAACTTCCCTTACCGTGGGAGACTTGCTCTTGTAGTGACTGGCATGCTGCTGCAAGATGTCCAAGGCTTTGGACTCTGAGCTGGATTTACAACTGACACTGGGGCTGGCTCGTGCCTTGTCAGCATCCTCACCACCCGAGACCTTGCTGCCATATGGGGAGAAAGAGTAGCTGGAAGGCAAGTAGGAACCTGGGGAAGGAGAAATCAAGCACTTAGATGGGAGGGGTAGAAAAAGTTCTGCTGCAGTGAGCTTGGTTAGGTGAGCATCAGCTTTCCTAGGCACAAGCTGAGATATTTTCCACCATGGTGTCTTTGGACTGAGGCTGTTGGCTTGTCCTTTCTTTACTGAGCTCTACAGGAAAAATTGGCTAAGGGATATTAGAAACATGCCCGTTTCCTATAGTCAATTTTCCAGATCTGCTGTGTTTTTTTGAACTAGTCTCAGAGATTCATCTTGGAGAGATGACATGATAAAATGGAAAGATCATGGGATTTGGAGTCAGACAGCCTTGGGCTCAACTGCCACCTCTGAGACTTACTAGCTGAGTAACCTTGAGCAAATCAACAACCTTTTTGAGCTTCAGTTTCTTCATCATCAAATGAAGATACCAATACTTATTTCATAGGATGATGGGAAGATTAAAAAAGGTAATGTGCATAAATCACACAGGACAGTGCCTGGCCCAGAGCACTCAACAAATGGAACTATGATTTTTATATATATGGGTGTGGGTGACAGTGAGAAAGGAATACCCCAAGGGCAAGATAATTTTCTATCTCTGCTTGAAAAGCTTACTTGTCCCATTTAGAGACTAGTTCCCTCCATATAATAATGTCACCAGAATGTCAAGCCTATTTACGCTGCTATAGGAAGTTGGGAGCTCTAAGGAATGAGTTAAAGAATTGCCCCTCCACTCCAGAAGCATCCCACGTGGCTCTTCGGACAACAGAAATCAGTGGGTAGAGTTGAATAAGAACATTTTACTCTAACAAGTTTAAAAATATTTAAACTCCTACTTTGTGCCTCCCCTCCACAAATAACTGAACAGCAGTAAAAAGAGCTTAAATCCCCAAGCTGAACCTAGCTAGACTTCCCCTCAACCTGAATTCAAATTGCTCTTCCCACTTGATAGACAAGCATGATCTTCCAACTGAATTATATGCACTGTTCTGATTTGAATTTTATTTGTTCCACATGTCTCTCGTTATAATTAAGTTATAAGTTCCTTGAGTGGAGAGAACTAGTCTTCTCTACTTTTTTTTTCCATTAAGTTATTATTTTTTTAATTTTTTAAAATATTTTTTCTTTTATTGCTTGAGCCCAGGAGTTTGAGCATTAAGTTATTTTTAAAATTTTACTTATCTGTTTCTGGGACAGAGTCTCACTCACTCAGGCCGGAGTGCAGTGGCATAATCAGAGCTCACTGCAGCCTTGAACTCCTGGGTTTAAGCGATCCTCCCACCTTTGCCTCCCAGAGTACTGGGATTACAAGTGTGAGCCACCATGCCGTTAACTTTTCATAAATTTTTGTAGAGACAGGGTCTCACCACGTTGCCCAAGATGGTCTCAAGCTCCTGGCCCCAAGGGATCCTCCTGAATAGCTAGGATTACAGATGTGAGCCGCCACGCCCAGCTCTTTACTTTTTTTGGTACTCTCCACAATGCCTAGCACATTGCAAAATGTAGCATTTATGTTTTCAAAAGCCCAGCTGAGGGAAGAAGGCAGTGGCAGAGAGGGAGTTTTCCCTTTAGTTAACAATGAAAACTGACTGCAGAGGTAAACCTCTAGCTGGAACAAGGGAGAGAGAAGTGATCCAGCAGACCGTCATCAAGGGTCATTTAAGGGGCTATGGGTTCCAGTGGTCACTTGACAGAATAATACTTTCAAAAAAGGGCTGTCATCTAAGCAAGACTCATCAAGCCTTAGGGCTGAGCATGAAAACTCTGGATTTGCAATCTGTGCTTCACCTCCCTTCCCAGTGAATCTACAGCAGCGGGCGCCAGGGTGCTGTACCTGGGTAGTTCTGCATCATCACAGCAGGCATGCCGCGGTAGCTGGGGTGGTTGGGGTCATAGGACTGGCTGTAGGAGTAGCCGTGCATGTAGGGGATGTAGGACTGGTGCTGGGTGAGGGGGGAGGACACAGGCACATGTACACTTGGTCGGGGCTCCTTGCTCCCAAGGCGGGACTCCTCAGATGTGGGCAGCTTGCAGTCACTACTTGTGCTTTCCTTCCCGTCTTCCTTGGGGACAGAGTCCTTACTTCGACTCCTTTCCTCCTTCAATTTGCGGTCCCGCTCCTCTTTCCACCGCTCATCCTCTGACTTGATGTCTGAGTACTTGGCAGGATAAACATATGTCCACATCCGGGGTTCTGCCTCCTACAACAGTCACGGAACAAGGAGTGTTGTACAGACAAGACAGAGATACAATTCAAGCCCAAGGTCTCAGTAGAACCACTAAAGCAGGTGGTTACTAGACACTCTGGGCAGAGTAGGATCTTGGCCTCTATTTATCTTGTTTATAATCCAACTCTGGTCCCTTTGGCTTACAAAAAAAAAAAAAATCGGATTGCTCAAGGTCAGGAGTTCAAAACCAACCTGAGCGAGACCCCGTCTCTACCATAAAAATAGAAAGAAATTAATTGGCCAACTAATATATATATATATAAAAATCAGCCGGGCATGGTGGCTTGTGCCTGTAGTCCCAGCTACTCGGGAGGCTGAGGCAGGAGGATCACTTGAGCCCAGGAGTTTGAGGTTGCTGTGAGCTAGGCTGACGCCACGGCACTCACTCTAGCCTAGGCAAGAAAGCGAGACTCTGTCTCAAAAAAAAAAAAAAAAAAAAAGTACCATCCCACTCCCTGTGTCCCCCAGAGAACAAGATATAGGGAAAGAAAAGGAAAATCCATCAGTCTATCAGTGGATGTTCTCTAGGCGAGAATAAGCATTCTGGGAAAATTTTCTGTTAGGATAGAAGAGGCTGCCCCCTTCCAAGATGTTTAGGTTGTTTCAGTTCTTCAGAGCAAGCTCAGGGGGTGGAATGCTATAAGTGCCACCCAGGTCAGAGGAGGGAGGTATAACTCTGGCACCAAGAGAGAAGGAAAGAGATTCTAAATCTCATGAGCAGAACAAGATGTGACATTCCAAGTTCTTGGTCCTAAGTCTGCCTATAAAGTTTAAGAAAACTCAACAACTGAGTAGTGTAATTTTAACCTACTTTAAAAAATGGAGAGATTACTATTAACTCATTCCATAGGAACTAAGCAGTGGAAGAAACACTGGGCTAGAATCAAGACACCTGGATTCAGGTCTCAGCTCTGCTAGTGAAATCTCAAGCAACCCTAGATGAATTTGGCTAAACTTATGTGGGCCTTTCTTTCTTTCCTTTTGAGACAGGATCTCACTCTGTTGCCTGGGCTGGAGTGCTATGGCGTTATCACAGCTCACAGCAACCTCATACTCCTGGGCTCAACCAATCCTCCTGCCTCAGCCTCCTAAATAGCTGGGACTACAGGCATGTGCCAACATGCCAGGCTTATTTTTTCTATTTTTATTAGAGATAGGGTCTCACTCTTGCTCAGGCTGGTCTCAAACTCCTGACCTCAAGTGATCTTCCTGCCTTGCTCTTCCAGAGTGCTGGGATTACAGGCCTCTGAGCCACTGTGCCCAGCCAAGGCCTTTCTTGTCAAATGGGAAAAACACCTTCTTATGGATGTAAAAATGCTTTTTAAAAAACATTAAAATAGTTTACAGGTAAAGAATCCCTAAAATGATACCTCTTTTCTGCTAATGTCAATTCTGTTGAAACCCTACGTAAGGACAGCCCTGACTCGCGAGGAAGACAGAAAGTTTATGAAACAGTATTTCCACTTCCTCCCAGGGCAGCAGTTACCTGTCGGTACCAGAGTATCGGATCCACCTCTGACTGTCGGCCACACTCAGGGCCCGTCTTGGCCTCAGAGGCCTCCTTGCCTAGGTGGCTGGCCTCACTCAGCTTCACTTTAAGGCCTTCAGGGGCCTGGCTGGGGAGTTTTGAAGAGTCATCTAACTTGGGAATGATGACTGATTTGGCAGTGTCAGCCCCAGGCTCCTTGGCCTTGCCGGGCCCTGACTTCACGAGGTCTGTCAGGCTGGGGGCTTTGGTGAGAGTTGGTGGAATTGACGGCTTTTGCTTCCACTCCTCCTTGAGTGCTGCCTCCCGCTCCTTCAGGCCCATCTCTGCTTTCTTGTCCAGGCCCCGCGGCTGCTGCTCCAAGCTCTGCCGCTTCTGCTGCTCTTCATACTGCTGCCGGTAGGCGGTGTTGGTGCTCAGGAGGTGGGTGTGGTAACTCTGGTCGCTGTAGCCGTAGGGGGGCACGTAGGCGTACTGGTTGTAGTACAGGGACTGCATGTACATGTTGGGACGCTGCTGGATGACAGAAGGCTGCTGGCTGGAACTGCTCAGCTCGGGTTTCTTCTCCTCACAGACGTCGTTCTTCGCTTTCCCCTCTATGCTCTCTGGCTCCTCATCCTTTTTTGTCTTCAGGGCCTGGCTCTCCACCCCTGTCTGGCTGCTGGGGTTCAGAGCCCCTGGGCTGGACTGTGCGTAACTGGGAGAGTAGTAGCTCTCAAAGCCTTGGTAGTACGGTGAGTCTTTGCTCTGTGGCTGAGGGGGGAAAAGAGTTTTCTTAGCCCCTTCCTTAACCAACTGTTCAGGGTCCTTTGATTTGACACTGTCCACCTTGCCCTCCCCGTCCTCCCCAGCATCAGAGATGTCAGAGTACGCAGGGCTGTTGGTTTTGACTGAGCTGGCTTCAGCTCCATTCTGGGTGACCACATGTAAGGGAGTCAGGGGCTGGGTCGGGGTCGTGCTATCTAGGCGGCTACTGCCTCCAATGGAAGGGCTGGGGGCATTGTCCGTGAAGCTGTAGATCTTGTCAGCTTCAGCCTTGATGCTAGCCAGTCGGCTTTGGTGCGGGTCTGACGAGCCATTCAGGAGCCCCTCCATTTTCATCCCATCTCCTGATGATTCCCTGAATGGGCTTTTGCCTTCTTCTGCTCGACACACCTTCCCAGGGGTCAGAGGACTTTCAAGTTCCTTGGAAGAGTCCTTCTTTTTTTTGTCTTTCTTTTTCTTGTCCTTGGCTGGAGTCAAGGCAGGGTTGACTGTGAAGGGTTCTCCCATAACAGTGGGCTTGGGCTGAATGGGCTTGAGCTGGGGACTGTTGGGCATGGCTTGGACCACTGTGGTGGTCAAGCCTGAGGAGGAGCCTGGGCTTGCTGCTGTGAAGGTGGCCGTCTGGAAGGTATAGATTTGCTGTGGGGGGATGGCAGGGGCAATGGGCCGGGCTGACTTTAAGCTCTTGGAAGGAATCTTGTCAGGTTTCAAACTAGAGGGTTTTTTACATTTTTCTTTTTCCATACATTTCCTTTCCAAAGAATCAAAGGCATCATTGCTTGTTTCATCCATTACTGAGGGTCCATCATCAGAGCCATCATTGGATAAGGCCCCAAGATCTGTGTCCCCTTCCCCACTCAACTTTTTCTTACAGAGGCCTTTTGTGCTGAATTTGCTTGAAGGAGAAGGGCTATGGGGCTCTACAAGGCGAACTTTGGGGGTAGCTGAACGGGCAGGGGACAAGGAACCTTTTTGTGCGACAGATGCACCGTTGCAGCTCCCAAGGTCTGCATGGAGCGTGGGCTCCTCTCCATACTCACTGTCTCCATCTGCTTCTGGTTTACTGTCATCATCTGTATGGGCATGAGCTTGGTGGTACTTAAGTCCATTGATGTGCTTGTACTTCTTGTTGCAGTTTGGGTGGGGACAGTCAATCAGGACTGGGGAGGGACAATTTCTGTCCAGAACAGTGGGTTCCACCTTGGTCCCAGGAAGGGGGCCAGTGGCTGAGCCCATAGAATTCGTACGGACACGTTTGCTCCCTTTGGAGTCCTCCGAGCTAGAATTCAGCTCCATGTCTGAAAGGGGTTTGTTTTTCCGCTTGTTAGCTGAGGAAGGGCTGGCCTTGACATCCTCAGAGGTGCTGCTGGCAGGTGGGCGATGCTCTGAAGAATTCTGGCTGCCGCGACGGCCTTTGCTATTGGTCCCTGCTCGGGTTTTGCTGCTGCTGCCGGTTCCTTTGCTGTCGGAGGCTGTGGATGTCTCGTTGACAGGCGTGTTACTGTTGGGACGCATGCGTTTGCCTCTACCCCGACCGTTACGCATTTCCAAGTCACTAGTGGGGGAGTCACAGAACCTTGGCAAAAGACAAACACAACAGGATATTATTAAGAGGAGAAACCATCTTCAAACCAGTTTAGCTGTAGTGTCCAGATGGCAACTATCATTTTCAATGAATATGATTTGTTAAAAGAACTTCTGATTGTGTGGGAACTACATTAAGTGGTAAGCTCCTAGGATGCTATCTACATGCTAGCTGTAAATTATTCCCCAACTTTTACCTCTAAAGCCATGCAGAGTTTGTTCCATGAGACAAAGAACAATCATGCTTGCATTTCCCATATGTAGCAATAGCCACAGTTTCAGAAAAGACTTTAGAAATCATCCAGGAAATTGAGGCCAGGTATACTAAGTGACCTGCCCAAGGTCACAATGTTGATTAATGGCAACTTATGATCAGAATCTAACTCTACTTTTAGCCCAGTGCTTTTTCCTACACAACTCACATAGACACAAAGCACACATCCATTTAAGAGGTCTTTAAATATCAGATACAGCCAGAGTACATGAGTTCTTTGAATGTTCGAAGATTTCTACCTACAAGTCATTTTTGACTAGTCCTAAAGTAGCTTTTCGCAGAGTTCAAAACACTGTCTAGAATTAAACCCTTAGCTAAGGTTGGTTCCCTTAAAGATCTAAAGATGGTTGGTTTATTTATTTATTTAATTTTTATTTTTTGAGACAGAGTCTCGCTTTGTTGCCCAGGCTAGAGTGAGTGCTATGGCATCAGCCTAGCTCACAGCAACCTCAAACTCCTGGGCTCAAGCGATCCTACTGCCTCAGCCTCCCAAGTAGCTGGGACTACAGGCATGCACCACCATGCCCAGCTAATTTTTTCTATATATATATTAGTTGGCCAATTAATTTCTTTCTCTTTATAGTAGAGACCGGGTCTCGCTCTTGCTCAGGCTGGTTTTGAACTCCTGACCTCAATCAATCTGCCTGCCTCAGCCTCCCAGAGTGCTAGGATTACAGGCGTGAGCTACCATGCCTGGCCTAAAGACGGTTTTGATTCCCTTCCAGGTGGCAGCTGGAATGGGTTGTTTCTAAGACAGTAGGAGCCATAGCTATGATGGGGAAAAAAGCAAATTCTGTCAAATATCTCCTTTGGGTCCTCAGAACGATCCTACTATGAAGCTACTTACTATCTCCCTGTTATCATCTACCCATTCAGGTCCTGTCTCATTCTTATATGCCCAAAGTCTTTCTAAAAGTTTCTTAGAAATACAAAGGGAGGATATAAAGAACTTTACAAACTGGTTTTAGCTCATCTGTTTTTGATTCTTATCAGGGCAACTTCTGTAATAGTCTGAGTATAGTCTTATAATATGCTAATCCTCTAGAAACCTGGTTCAGCATCTCAGAAAACTAGGAGGCATAAATAACTACATATCCCTAGGTAGAGCATAATAACACTTGAGAAAAAGAAAGTAGTATGGAATCAAGAACTTTAAAATATTTTTCCTTGTTCCTCTTTAGTATACCGGTGGAAAAAAAAAAGGAGTATAAAAAACAAAACAACTTCTCCTTGGGACATTCCTGCCCATCTTTGTCTCATGGAAACAATGAGCAGGTGAAGACTGAAGATAATTTTTCTAAAAGAACTGTCCAGACAATAACTACCATTTTTAATGAATATGACTGGCTAAAGGAACTTGTGGATGCATGGGAACTGGATTAAGTGGCGAACTCCTAGGATGCTATTTGTGCACTAGTTGTAAATTACTTCCAACATTTTGGTTTCCCAAGCCCCTGGGAAACTGGTTACTAATATTGGGAACAGGCTGTAAGGTGGCATTGACTATAATGTCCATCTTAAGGTCAAATTGCAACTTGAAAAGGTCCTTGCAAAACCCATATGGTCTAGCAGAGTTTATACAACTGAAAATGTTGTTGACTTTAAATTTCTAAGAAATACCTACCATGAAAAACCAATCAATGAATGTTTGTTCACCCACAGTTAGACTTTATGGAATACAGGAGGAAGCCAGGATTTAATAATCCCAGTCAAAGATGAATATAGGATTTCCTCTCCATTCCCCCAACGCACCCACCACCACCACTTCAACACATAATTCATTTAGTCTTCTTGAATGTCAGGTGAATACAATGCTTTCCCTTGTCTCTAAACCATAATGTCCTTTAAATCTGGGTGTACAACTCTAGCAGGATAAAGGTATAAGGGTTCACTGATTAGAGTGGTTCAGACTAATATAAACCAAACAAAGAGAAGTGCTTACCTTGGGGGTGCCCAATCATGCCGCGTGCAGTCAAGAAGTGTACCTACATATGTCTTGTTCCTCCATGTTACATTGACCACTAACATCCCTGGAAAATAAGAACACAGATATAGACAAGACAAACTCTGTTGGCCACTAAGAAGAGTATTCTTCATTTGAGCAGCATTTTGACTTCTAAAGGAGGGTGCAGGGGATGTGCTGGGTACCAATGAAACCAATAGAATTGGACCAGAATAGTTCCATGGGAATTGCCTACAATGTTACTAGGATAGGGAATAGTTGCAAAAACTTCACGGTGTGGTAAAGGCATGTTTTCTTAATTAAAAAAAAAAAAATAGGCAATATTTGAAACATAGTAAAAAAGTACAAAGAATAATCTAACAAAAACCTCAATGGATTTGTAAGATTTTTGCGGTACTTTACATCAGATTTCTTTTTTAAAGAATAAAAGCATCAGAGTTGAAAAACATTGCTTACTGTATTTTCAAACTATGTATCTAGCAATGAGATTGTGATGAGGATATATAACTTACCTTTCTCATTTAATGTTATAAATTTGAAATTTATCCATGGTGACATGAACAGCTTAATCCATTCATTTTAATTGGGCTCAAATATTTCATTGTATGATTTGACCACAATATATTCTGTTGATGGACATTTAAGTTTGTGCATTTTTACTCTTAAGTGACTTCACAATGAATATTGCTGACATGTTCATTTATTTAAAAATGCATTTGAATAGGTAATATAGTAATATCCCAAAATTGAAAAGTAGTAAAAAATACCAAACAAACCCTACTATAAAATGAAGTTGTCCTTCCTGTCACTGTTCTTCAGCCTTCCAGTTCCCCTACACGGAAACATCTAAAAGTCTTCAGATATTTTATACATATATACACACAATGTTCTAAACATTGCTTTTTTCACATGCTCAAATATTTTGTATCATTCCATATGTGTAGACAGAGAAACATACCATTCTTTCCAATGGGTGCATTGAATGGACATTGGTTTGCTCCATTCTTCTGTTATTACAAATAAATTGCAAAAATAACCTTGTACAAATGCTTTATCTTACCTATGTGTCTGTAAGATAAATTCCTCTAAGCAAAACTGCTAATCACAGAGCATTTGTATCAGGAGTTTTGATAAATACTACCAAATTTCTTCAAGAAGATATACTAATTTATATATTCATCTACTAGTAGTCCATGAAACACCTCTTGCCCTTTCCCTTTGGCAACATAGTGTTCTCAAACTTTGTGATCTTTGCCAACCAGGCAGAAGGAAAATGATGTTGTTTTATATAGTTTTAATATTTCTTAAGAGTTTGTATATCAATTCACGAAAATACATTATTATAAGACATTTGTATTTCCTTTCTAGTGAACTGTCTGTTCCTATCCTTTGTTCCTCTTCTACTGAATTATTAGCCTTTTTCTTATTTGTGACTCTTAATACACTGGAGTAAAGGTTTTGTCTATAATATGAATCAGATATTTCCCCCTTATTTGTCATTTGCTAATGATAGTTAATGCTATGCAGAAATTATTTACTTTTATGTTGTATGGTTATGAATCTTTTATAGTTTCTGAGTTTTTTGGGGCATATTTCAAAAGGCTTTTCCCTATTCCATCATGTTATTACAGTTTTCTTCATGGTTTTTTCTAGTACATTTATGATTTGATATTTTACATTTGATCCACCTGGAATATTTGCTTATTTATTTATTCAATCATCCATCTACTTTTTTTTTTTTTCGAACTCCTGACCTTGAGCAATCCGCCCGCCTCGGCCTCCCAGAGTGCTAGGATTACAGGCTTGAGCCACCGCGCCCAGCCCATCTACTTTTAAAAATGGGAGTTTCACTATGTTGCCCAGGCTGGCCTCGAACTCTTGGGCTGAAGTAATCCTCCCCTCAGCCTCCCTAGTAGCTGGGACTACAAGCATGTGCCACCACACCTGGCTTCCATCTGGAATTTAACTTGGTATAAAATATGTGATATGGACTCAACTTCTTAATCTTTGATTTTTGTGGCTTGCCTTTTAAAGTATTTTTTGGTGAATTTGGCTGAAAAGTAGTTCTAGGTTGGGCGCAGTGGCTCGCGTCTATAATACTAGCACTCTGGGAGGCCGAGGCGAGCGGATTGCTCGAGGTCTAGAGTTCGAAACCACCCTGAGCAAGAGCCAGATCCCGTCTCTACTATAAATAGAAAGAAATGAATTGGCCAACTAATATATATAGAAAAAATTAGCTGGGCATGGTGGAGCATGCCTGTAGTCCCAGCTACTCGGGAGGCTGAGGCAGTAGGATCGCTTGAGCCCAGGAGATTGAGGTTGCTGTGAGCTAGGCTGATGCCATAGCACTCACTCTAGCCTGGGCAACAAAGCGAGACTCTGTCTCAAAAAAAAAGAAAAGAAAAGTAGTTCTACATTTTAATTAAATCAACTATATTAAGTTTTCCTTTAAAGTTTGTGCTTTATCTTATCACAAGGTCATAAAACCACATTCTACTATGATATTCTAGGGTTTTTTTTTCCTGAGACCACAGTCTCGCTCTGTCACCCTGGGTAGAGTGCAGTGGCCTCAACACAGCGTACTGCAACCTCCAACTCCTGAGCTCAAGGGTGGGCATGGAGGCTCACGCCTGTAATCCTAGCACTCTGGGAGACCAAGGAGGGAGGATCGCTTGAGCTCAGGAGTTTGAGACCAGCCTGAGCAGGAGTGAGACCCTGTCTCTACTAAAAACAGAAAAATTAGTCAGGCATCATGGTGCATGCCTGTAGTCCCAGCTACTCGGGAGGCTGAGGCAGAAGGATAGATAGCTTGAGCCCAGGAGTTTAAGGTTGCTGAGAGCTAGGCTGATGCCACGGCACTTTACTCAGGGCAACAGAGCAAAACTCTGTCTCAAAAACAAACAAAGAAACAAACAAACCCCGCAAAAAAACTCCTGGGCTCATGTGATCCTCCTTGGATTTGTAGGAAGGGGCCATTAAAAAAAAAACAACGAAAAAAAAACAAGAGATCCTCTTGCCTCAGCCTCCCAAGTAGCTGGGACTACAGCCATACGCTACCATACCCAGGTAGTTTTTTAATTTTTAGTAGAGAAGGGTTTCGCTCTTGCTCAGGCTGGTCTCAAACTCCTGACTTCAAGCGGTCCTCCCGCCTTGGCCTCCCAGAGTGTTGGGATTACACATATAAGCCACTGCGCCTGTCCTCTTCTAGTTTTTATTTTCTAGAAGTTTTGTAATTTTATGTTTTCTGTTTAAGTCCTTGATCCATTTTGAGTCAATTTTGTATGAGATACTTCCCCCCCCCATGATGTCTACCTGTTCCAACGCCTATCTTTCATCTAAAGAATTGCCTTTGCACATTTGCCAAAAATCAGTTGGGCACATTTTATATGAGTCTACTTCCAGGTTTTCTGTTCTGTTCCATTAATCTACATATCTATCCCTCCACCAATACCACATGGTCTTGATTACTGTGGCTATATAATAAGTCTTGAAATTTGGTAGTCTGATTCCTACCACTTTATTATTTTTGTTCAAAACAGTTTTAGCTATTCTAGTTCCTGTGACTTTCCAAAACATTTTTAGAATAATCTTGTCTGTATTTACAAAATATTGATAGAAATTTCATTAAGCCTATATATCAATTTGGGGAAAATTGACATTTTTGCTATGTTCAGTCTTCCAATTTGTGAAAATAGCATACCTCTCCATTTATCTAGATCTTTGATGTCTTTCCTTAGTATTGTGTAGTTTTCAGTATACAAACTCTTGTGGCTGTTTTGTTAGATTTATACCCAAGTATCTCATTTGGTGGGGGTGGGGTGGACTAATATAAATGATGCTTTTTTTTTTTTAAAATAGAAAAAGGGTTCTGTTGGTTTATTCCCACCATGTAGCAGGTCTCACCCTTGTTTTCATGTATCAGCTGATGGAGATTTAAAGACTGACAAGAGAATTTCCTTTGTATGACTTTGAGACAGGATTTGTGGTTGAAAATATAAGGGAGTTTTCAAAACAGACTTTTCAGGCTGGGTGTGGTGGCTCCCGCCTGTAATCCTAGCACTCTGGGAGGCTGAGGTGGGCAGATTGCTCGAGGTCTGGAGTTCTAAACCAGCCTGAGCCAGACCCTGTCTCCACTAAAAATAGAAAGAAATTAACTGACCAACTAAAAATATATATACAAAAAATTAGCTGGGCATGGTGGCGCATGCCGGTAGTCCCAGCTACTAGGGAGGCTGAGGCAGCAGGATCGCTTGAGCCAAGGAGATTAAGGTTGCTGTGAGCTAGGCTGACGCCACGGCACTCACTCTAGCCTGGGCAACAAAGTGAGACTCTGTCTCAAAACAAAAAACAAACAACAACAAAAACCCCAGACTTTTCAGGCTGTGACCCAAACAAGCCTGTTGGATGGCTTGTTTAGAGTAAATCAAAATAACTAGACATCAATTTACTTTTTTTTTTTGAGACAGAGTCTCATTCTTTTGCCTGTGCTAGAGTGCCCTGGCGTTGGCCTAGCTCACAGCAACCTCAAACTCCTGGGCTCAAGCAATCCTACTGACTCAGCCTCCCTAGTAGCTGTGATTACAGGCTTGTGCCACCATGCCTGGCTAATTTTTTCTATATATATTTTTAGTTGTCTAGCTAATTTCTTTCTATTTTTTTAGTAGAGACGGCATCTCACTCTTGCTCAGGCTGGTCTCAAACTCCTGAGCTCAAACTATCTGCCTGCCTCAGCCTCCCAGAGTGCTAGGATTATAGGCCTGAGCCACCGTGCCCGGCCAACATCAATTTACTTTTAAACCATCTATTTTCTTCTTATTGGTTTTCTTGTGTTCTCATAATGAATCATTTCTTTCGTTTGCCTTTCCCTCCTGTCTCTTCTGTGCATACACACACAGGTACATACTCTCCTTAACTGAATCTCTAGGGGCTGCAAATGTTTTATTGGGTAGATGGAAGCACTGAATCATAGAATATTAAAGCTTTTATGATTTATATAATTAAAAAATATTTAAGGGCTTTGGAGATACTTTTACACAATTGCACTGTGTACACAATTAAACCCAGGCT